AGGCTAAGGGGCCGAGCGCTGCGGCTAGGACAGGCTAAGAGGCCGAGTGCTGCAGCCACATGTCTTGCATTTAAGACCCCACCAGCTGCCAGTCTCTACGTAGGCATACCACAGATATTAATTTTCTGGATCTACAAAATTAAATCACCCACTCTCTGTTTTAGAATTTCACGGAGCATTGCGCGCAACAGAGAATGGCAACTGCCCAATCGATATGTCCAAATATATGCGGATCCACTGTTACAGCATTTCATAAATCAACTATTTGCTAGGAAAGAGTATAATTGTGAATTTATCTTTAAGTTTAACGGAACCGGGTTAAAGAAAGTTTAAACATCTGATCTAGATTATTCAACATGGTGGCAGAACAATAAGATAAATATCTGGCGGAGAAAGCAAAACTACGCAGTTTGCCAGTTGATGTCTGCGCCCATTCCCCCCCCCTTAAATCCTTCTCCAGNTATCCATAGTTTATTTTTATATCTAGGGCAGTCCCTTTAATATCCATAGTTTATTTTTATATCTAGGGCAGTCCCTTTAATATCCATAGTTTATTTTTATATCTAGGGCAGTCCCTTTAATATCCATAGTTTATTTTTATATCTAGGGCAGTCCCTTTAATATCCATAGTTTATTTTTATATCTAGGGCTGTGAAAAGGTCCCAGGGTTCTGCCCTTGTACTGAACAGAACTGTATTTACAGGTATTTTAAAATTTTTTTTCACATTTAAGAGGAACTGCATTTGCACTCGGTGTGTACTGTGTACTGATTTGCACTCGGTGTGTACTGTGTACTGATTTGCACTCGGTGTGTACTGTGTACTGATTTGCAGAACTCCTGACCGAATAAATAGTGGAGTTTTGTTGAGAGTGACGTATCACTTGCCACAAACTTAGATTCATAATCCCTAAATCTATGCACATGATGATGGTGTAAAGCTTTAATACTTTAAATTCAGACGGTTTGATCTAGCAGAATTCACAGTTTAAAATAAGTCTACAATATCAGAAAGCATATCAGGAATAAGGATTAGTTTGTAGCAAGAGTTAAGTTTCTCTATAAAAATCCCCAACATTGTGTTTCTTATTGTTCTTAAAATCCTGATGTTGGAATTAGAAAAGCAGACTGAATGCAAACTCTTGATGCAAAATTTTCTTGTTTGTTTGCCAAAAATATGCAAAATATTTTGCAAAGTTAAATATAGTCACATGTTCGTTAAAGATGATATATTTAAAAAGGTAAAAAGATTTTAGTGTCTCATAAAAGGGTAGGATAGGAAAGGGGGGGGGGGTAAAGTTTATAGGTTAGTGAATAGGCTTGAGTGGAGGTTTGTGATTATAACCAAATATTTAAAGTTGTTCCCAAGAGGTTGGGTGAATTTTCATGGAGTTAAAGTAAAAATGTTGTAATTGTATATTTAATTTTGATTTTAGTATATACAAGGGTTTGAAAATGTTTATTTGTTTTTATCGACACAATATTCTTTTTGATTTATTTTACATATTTAAAAGCATATTAGATCCCGAGGTTTAGTGAGTTAAATTAAAATAATTCAAGTATTTTGACACAAACCTTACTTAAATTTTCTAGGAATTTAAAATTCTTTTTGCATCAATTAAGTAATTCAATATAGACTTTTACAAGAAGACTACATTATTTCAGAAACAATATAAACTTTTTATCATTTTTAAAACTTTAAAGTTAGTTATAAACTTGTAACAGTTTTATTACAAAATTAATTCTGATAAAAAGTTTTTGCTTATTATTCGGGTTAATTGGAGAAATATTTTTTAAAACAATAAAGTCGTATAGTGTATACATATAAAATAAGATCTGAGGCCGAATTAAAAGAATTTGAGCGGCGGCTTAAATATAAGCCGCGGCTCAAATATGGTTGGTTCCACTTAAAATTCTATTCAATGTTTCCATATTTAAGCCACGGCTCTATTGAAACCGGTTTTTGGCGGATTTAAGACGCGGCTCAAATTCATAAAATTCGAACAATGGATTCAGGATGTCGAAAGGCTTTTTTTATATGTCATATTTAGATTGTCGTGATGCAGCTTAAGACCCATTTCTTTTTGTGGAATGATTAAGAACTAAGTAATTAAAGATTTGCAGTGAACAGTTTTGACCGAAAGGAATTGAGTTTTTGCCAAAAACTCCTGCTTTATAATCCCTATATCTTTGAAACCTGGCAACGTAAACAGACTATTTGAAATAGAATTTTTAGTTTGAAGTATATGAAGTCTGGGTTGTAACAATATAGAGGATAGAAAATCAAAGTTTATGGCAAAAACTTAATTCTATTTCACATTTAAGTAATATTTTTTTATATTACGCTGACGTTTGATAGATACAAACGAAAGCTTTCTTATGAAAAATAAAAGAGTTAAAGGAAAAAATCCTTTTTTTTACGAATCTAAACAAAATATTCACAATCCCATTTTTAATACCCCCCACCCATGGCCCATCTTCGTTCATCTCATGCTTTTGCAACATAATCCGTGAATAGAAATATGGATCTATTTAACGCTTTGTTAAACATATTATTATAAACAAGTCCTAATTTCAGGTTTACTGTATGGGCAGCATCCAAGCAGCATGCAATCGGCATCTTTATTGTTTGACCCCAATGCAGCAATTTTTCTAAATCTTGTAAAAACATTTTGCATTGTTTAGGAAATAGGCAGCATCAGAGGGAGCAAGGGGGCAACAGTGGAAATACGGGAAATGGTGGCAAAAACTACGCGAAATTTGCGTCGACATGCGTAGCATCAGCTGCTGCTGTAGCTGCTCTATACGCAGCTTCTAATTCAAGGTAGAGTTTTGCAGTATATTCATTTTTTAACTATAGATTGGTAATTATTTGGAACATATTCTTTGTATATTTTATAACAATAGTTGCAACTTAAAAGTTTACCAGGGTTTCTTGTTTTTATAGAAAAAATTTGACGGAAATACTTGCGGGTCATGTTCTGCACAACTATAGAAATACAAAAATTCTTTAATTTGCTTTCTTTATAAATGCAAACATGAAGTATCAAAATTACGTAAAAAAATAGTAATTCATTTTTTTCATTTTTTTATGAAGTATATTTTAGGATGGAGCTACTAGCAGAATCTGCAGAAAATACCTTGGTTGCTGCAGAAAATAGAGTTAGGTTAGTTTTTATTTCTATTCCTTTTGAAAAATTGCAACATCTTTTTTTCTTGTCTTGTCTTGCCATGCCTTACTCACGTTTAATGTTATTTAATTTAAACATATTAAACTAAAGTAATTTGAAATCTTTTATCTTTCAATCATCACTTCTTTAATTGAAGAGGTATTGAGCAGAACATTATGTTTGAATTTATGATTTGTAACCAAATAAATTTGTTTGTCTCATTCTTGTTCGTAAAATCTAAGTTTTGATTGTAATAGTTTTTCATTTTTTTTTCAGACAATTCTCTACTCCGGACAAAATATTCAACTATTTTGCTTCCTATCAGTTTGTCAACAAAAAGAATGGTAAGTCTGATTTTAAAAATAGAATTGTGTGTTTAAATTGAAACATACAATTATTAAAACTGAAAGGGAGTGACGGGCAATGTCATGGTAGTTGAACCATGAGAATGTTGTATTGTGGAGAAATTTTTTAGGATTCATTAGAGACATATAATACATTTTAATGATGTGTAATTACAGTGTTTAAGCGCAAAGTTGTCGTTCAAAAACATTTCAAAATCTTCCTTTGTGTCAATAATTACAAAATAATATCAGTATCTTTGACGTGTTATTAACACTAGCGTAGTTTTAAGTTTTAACGTAAAAAAAAATGTATTTGAATAAATTGCGTAAATGTTCTTATTAAACTAAACGTTCATTCAACACAGTTGTTGAACATTTTAAGTTCAATGTCTAAAACTGGTAATACATACCGAGGGCCCCAAAAAAGCCATAAGTAGACGACATTTAAGTAATCATATGGTATTTGATGTTGTTGTTATTAAGCAACTAGAACTTTGCCAGTAGGTTGAAATCAGTTTTTTATAGGAAAGGGGTCTGTATACACTGCACAACTCCTGTTTTTATGTTTATTGCACTATTTAATGCCTTAACTTCAGTCGTATCCATTTTCCACAGTTTTATGGGTCTTATGGTACCAAGGATTAGATAATGAGAAAAACGTTGTAATAATTAAAAAATTAAAGATTGTTCATCACGTTCAGAGACATAATTTCTCATAATTTTTTTTATTTTCGCGAACACTCCCTTTAAACCTTGTTGCTACTGTAGGACGAAAGAGTATGATGATGACACCCCTTGAGTTCTACAGCTCCGTGACCCCGGACTGCAGGAGGGTGCACGGTGTAGGACCAGGAGTTCATGTTGAAGTAGATCAACAGGAACTAGACGATGGCAAGGTTAATATTTAAATACTGTTACAATACAAAAAGTTACATTTTTTACAATTGCACGTAATATAAATACATTTAATTTCTATAATTACACTTGCTATAGTTAAACTTGCTAAAATCACACTTGGCATAATTACATTTGCTATATAATTAAACTTGAATTAAACAAAGGCATCTTTATAAGAAGTAGTTATCTTGTTTGTCGTTCTTTGTGTGTACATCCTTTCATAGCTCATAATCCTCTTGACCGATTTGTTTCAAATTTTGATTTTGGAACTTGTAAGAACCATAGGAATGCTCCAAGCTAGTTTCAAAATATTCTAATCTTGTTAGGTTGACTTTAAAACAAAATTAGTTTCCAGGCAAAGCTGGCTTCCTAAGCCAATATGAATATAAACTAAATTGTTCTAAATTTATCTAAGGTTGTAATGGAGAGGTCCCCTATATCTGGAAGTGTTCTCAATGAGATCGGAAAACTTGGTTTGCTCTCCTACCAGGACTTCTGCTTTCTCTTAGCTCTCATCTCTACACCTAAGTAAGTTGAAGACTTATTCAGCTTTGTAAAATTATACTGCTGTTGACTCCTTCTCATCATTCAGTTAAAAAATTCCGCTTCGGATTTTGTATAATTGTTTTAAATGATATTCCAAAACATTTTAGAAAAACATTAGCTTCGACATTTCAAAAGAAAAAAATTATGACAATTATTCTATACTCTTTCTGATTACCACCATATGTTTGATACCGTGTTTCTCTGTTCATTTATACATTACATTTTAAATTCAAATCAAAACTTGCCTTACTTCTGTTTTCTTCATGATACAGTTTTTGATTTTCAATTTTTTAAAATCAAAATAATAATGTTAGTTGTGACATTAATTTTCGTTGATACAATGATAACCAGAAAACTGTGGAATAGGAAACCTGAATTAATGCATTAAATAATTGTATTTGATGTTGTTACAAAGGAAATTATTTTTTATAGTAACTTATTATATCACTTACTAAGCATGAAATGAACCTTTTTACGTCGCACAATTGTTGTTCATTGCACTATTGAAATTCATAAATTGAGTCTAAAACTCGCCTGTATATTCCAAAGATGTCTGGTTATTACTGTAAAAAAGTATTTTTATTCTTAAAAAAAAAACTATACAATTCATTTAGACGATACATTGAGACTACCTTTAACATGTTTGATGTAACCGGAGACGGACATATTGAAGCAAAGGAGTTTGCTTATGTCAGCACTAAGATGGCACACAAGTCAGGGGGATTCGGTTCATATACAGATACAGATCAGGAAAAGTCACATTGATGGAATTTGCGAAAATATTTTGTTTGTTCGAGCAAGGAAACATAAATTTTGAAAAAAGTTATGCTTTTAAATCCAGGGACTGCAGAAGGAATTTCAAGTGGGCCGTTGTCCCATTTAAAGAGTTGCTTTATCTGATCAATAAATAAGAATGAATTGGGAAATGTGAATAGGGTAAGAACTTAATTTATGTAAAAATAACTTTGCAGAAATTTATTTTCTATTGCAAATGATTGTTCTGTAAATCCTTTGGATCTTAGTAAAATTTTAGTTAAGAAACAAATGAAATATGTTGATGTCCCATTGGACCATGCATGGAAAGTTCCGGTTTTACAAGAACTTTTAAATACAAGAACGAATAATTTATATGTTGAAGGATTCGATGATTACGTAATAACTGAAATGATAAATATGTTATGTAATGAGTAATGATCAATGTCGTCTATTTGTGCATAATTTTGCATATTTTTCTCTTTTCTTTTGGAAACCTGTATTTTCAAAAATGTATTTAAACAAATTTAAACTACACCATATATATATGTATTTATATCTTTGTGTGTGAATAAATCTTTTTAATTATAAATACAGGGTCACTTGAACAGACCCATTAAGACACTTTTTTTGTTCATCAGAAATTGTAATGTTTTATCTTTGATTTTTACTCTGTTTAATCTTCTTGACTTTAATGTTGATGCAGGAGGAAATATTGGCATCAAGCTCAGGTCTGTTAAACTATCTATTCGGTAAAAACCGGGACCAGTCCCTTACCAAGGAGAAGTTCAAGAAGCTGCAGACGGACTTGCTCGACGAGATCGTTCAGCTGGAGTTTAGGGAGTACGACACTGAGAACACAGGACGTATTTCCGAAGCTGATTTCGTCAACTTCCTTCTCAAGAACGGGAAGCTGATGCCTAAGAAGAGAGCGCAGTTGATAAAGAAGGTTCAGTCCAGATGGCCGGCTAAAGGAAGAGGTGTCTCACTTCCATCATTCAAGGTATATTTCCCACCCCCTCCCCACCCTACAAATTTTGTTTACGATTTTTATTTTCTGAGATATATAGTCTTCTTTAGTTTTCTTTTTTTGGAAATGGCAAAAATGCAAATTTTCAAAAGTACGAATTTTTACGTAAAGAACGGATTTTTTCGCTCGATTTGGGTTTTAATCTATTTAGAGTCTTACAAATGAACATCTAAAAGGTTTCAAACCAAATTGCAATGTTTTTAATCACCTAGTATTTCTGCTCAATTGCAAACATATTGTTTTTTACCAACCAAAACCACTTTTTTAAAATTGTTCTCTGTCCCTTCATATTTTGAAGTTGGTTAGTATAACGGGTTCATTCCATTAAAAGTTAAAAACATTATATTTATATCCATCTAGATGATATTCTAAAATTGTATAATTTTAAACTACAAAATTATGCAGCGATGTTAAAACAAGCTAGCATTTGTTCATGAATATCATTTCAGCGTGAGATGCAGAAAACTTGATATTTCAATGAATTTTTAGAACTTTTGGCCAATAAAAATTATGTTTAGAGCTTCTTTATGGTTCTAGCAGGAGGACAGGAACTGGAACGAGCTCTGTTCTTCCTAGGTCAGTTTAAAGATTCATTTGTCATATAAAGAAATAGAGTTTGGTAACAAACTCTAATTTTCTAATCTCTTTGCAACCAAATGTCGTAGACCTTAGATATTTTAAACTATGACTTCTGTTATTTGAAATAGTTTAAGTTTGAAATATGAAAGGTTTACACCATCGAGATGAAGAGAAATGGGAATTATTATAATATTTCAATTTAAAAAAGGAACGAGCAAACTGATGACCCAGATTTTATAAGTTTGAGTAAAGTGAGAGAGAAAAGGTGAGAGAGGGGGGAGATTTATAATTCTAACTAAAAATGATGATGAGAAGCTGTCTAAACTATGGTACTCAACCAGACAATGTTCTATTGTAAGAAGGGTAAACAAGGAATATAAGGATGCTCACATATATATTTGTTTGTTTTCTATTGTATTATTTACCACCCAATGTACTGCTATACAGGGATATTTAATATTCAGAGATCAAATTTAATAAATAGAGAGAACTAGTTAAACCACTTACTCTTTAATATAAACTGTGGTAGTTCCAGATTCACTATTTCAATTGCGTATAGATGGTTTTCACACATTAATATCGTAATTGTAAGATCAAGTTTTTATTATCTCACTTAAATGTCGTAGGAAGATGAACCTATGTAAAGGATTGTGTTTATTTAGATGTTGAAGGAACAGGAGTTGACAAGGAGGAATTCAGGTATAAATATATAGATATAGACTATATTAAGAATACATTTATATATATTTATACTATATACATTAATATATGCCCCTAAACTAAGCTTTCGGTGCGTACTGCAGTAATATGGTGACACTGACTGAAAAAAATGGTGGGCTTTAGCGGAGAGTAATATTTTTTTGATAGGGGTCGACGGGTGGAACTCTAAGAGAAACAAATACAGGGTACAGAAGTATAAGATGTAATAGCAATAAGATATAGTCCGGGGCAATGAGTGGAACAGGATTACTCCAAGCTAGATAGATATACCTGGTCACAGGACAAGCTAAGCGGATACTGCAAAAATCACTTTTAAGTGTCTTAATGAATTATTGTATTATAGACAATCATGAGCGGAACTAATTCCAGTATATTATGAGGATAGGGCCCGCCCGGTACGAATTTAGTAGAGGATTTACAATCACCGACTTTCATTGATATGAGTGGGGTGAGACAGAGAGGGTCAGGATAAGATAGAGTGGGACAGGAACGGCTGGGGAAGGAAGGGACAGGATCGGATAGGCTGGGACAAGTTGGGAAAATGGGTGGGATAAGTTAACAGGTTGAGACAGGATGGAACAAAATTGGACAGGAAGGAACAAGATTGAACAGGAAGGAACAAGATTAGACAGGAAGGAACAAGATTAGATAGGAAGGAACAAAATTGGACAGGGAGGAACAAGATTGGACAGGAAGGAACAGTATTGAACAGGAAGGAACAGTATTGAACAGGAAGGAACACGATTGGACAGGAAGGAACAAGATTGGACAGGAAGGAAAAAGATTGGACAGGAAAGAACAAGATTGGACATGAAGGAACAAGATTGGACAGGAAAGAACAAGATTGGACAGAAAGGAACAAGATTGGACAGGAAGGAACAAGATGAGTAAAGATGGGGTTTACATGGACATTGACGGACAATATCTATTTGGATGAAAGGAATGCTAACAGTTTTGAGAATTGAGAATTACTAATGCTCGTTATGTACTCAGGAAGATCTCCTCTTGGGTTTCTCAGACAGAATGCAGTGATCATGTTGTAGAACTGATCTATGAAATGCTGGATGATGATGAGGATGGAAGGTAGGGATCAAAAGATGTAGCAAAAATAAACATAAAAAACAATTCTTTAAAATGAAATTGATTATTTGCTTCAAACTCTCACGTTGCCTTGAAATTTTTAAAACCTAAAGACCTTTGATATTTCCAACTACGATTTTTAAAAAAGTTTCAAATATATAAGGTTTACACTTTAAGATATAGGGATTAGAAAATTATAGTTTGTGGCAAGTAATAAGTTCTTTGAAAACTTTTTTATTGATACAACTTTATTTCTAGATTGTACAGAGATGATATTGCCCAGATTCTGCTGGATTGGAGACATTCCAGAGGATTTGCAAAGGTTAGTTTTTATCCGATTGCCCAGCTGGTTAGTCAGGTTGTTCAGCAGGTTGGTCAGGCTGGTCAGAAAGTGACTCAGCGTACTAGTCAGGCTTTCCAGACTGGCCAGCTGGTTAGTCAGGCTGGTCTGAATGGATATCTGGTTATTAAGAGTTGTCCTACTGACCAGCTGGTTAGTCAGACTGGTCTGAATGGATATCTGGTTATTAAGAGTTGTCCTACTGACCAGCTGGTTAGTCAGACTGGCCAGTAGTACAACTGGCTAAACAGATTTGATAGATTATAACGCAGGCTGGTAGAGGGTCTGGTGGTTTTGTTAACACAAAGAAACATTGCAAAATCAATTGATTCCGAAAAGAACAATATTGAAAAGTTAATCTGCATTCAATGAAATACTAAAAAATTATTTATATAATTTGTGTTGATTTTCCAAAAAAAAATTATTTAAATAAATAGCATTAATTAACAATCTTTTTTTAATCTTTAATAATATAATTCAATAATCTTAAGCTTAAATTTTGTATGTAGGGAGGAATTCAGGTTTCTCTGGGACAGCTCAGCATTTAAATCTTCAGTAAGAGGAAGCTACAGAGACGATGGGTCATCTTCACTCTGTCTTGAAGATATATCAAGGATATTAGTTTAAAAAGTTCAGAGGTTGTTTTTAAACAGTTCAGGGGTTGTTTGTAAACAGTTCAGGGGTTGTTTGTAAACAGTTCATCGGTTGTTTGTAATCAATTAAAGGTTTTTTGTAAACAGTTCAGGGGTTGTTTGTAAACAGTTCAGGGGTTGTTTGTAAAAAGTTCAGGGGTTGTTTGTAAACAGTTCAGGGGTTGTTAGTAAACAGTTCATCGGTTGTTTGTAATCAATTAAAGGGTTTTTTGTAAACAGTTCAGGGGTTGTTTGTAAACAGTTCAGGGGTTGTTTGTGAACAGTTCAGGGGTTGTTTGTAAACAGTTCATCGGTTGTTTGTAATCAATTAAAGGTTTTTTTTGTAATCAGTTCAGGGGTTGCTTTTAAACAGTTCAGGGGTTATTTGTAAACAGTTTCAGGGGTTGTTAGTAAACAGTTCAGGGGTTGTTAGTGAACAGTTCAGGGGTTGTTTGTAAACAGTTCAGGGGTTGTTTGTAAACAGTTCCTGGGTTGTTTGTAAACAGTTCAGGGGTTGTTTGTAAACAGTTCAGGGGTTGTTTGTAAACAATTCAGGGGTTATTTGTAAACAGTTTCAGGGGTTGTTAGTAAACAGTTCAGGGGTTGTTAGTAAACAGTTCAGGGGTTATTTGTAAACAATTCAGGGGTTGTTTGTAAACAGGTCAAGAATTGTTTATGAACAGTTTGTAAAATGACTATCCTATAGTAGATAATTTTTATATTTTCTGTTATATCGTAATTCTCAGGTCTTAAATTTTGTTTATAGTTTCGATGTTATATGAAATAAATGTTGTATTTTACATATTGTAATTGTATGAGCTTTTATTTAAAGAATGATTAATCTTTTTACAATAATTGAAATTATGTTATTTGACCGGACGTCTGAACTTTTATAATGTGAATTTCGGGATCAAGCATTGCTCTTTTATGCATACCAACGGATTAATTTCCTCTTTAGTGTGGTCATACCCTGCAGTGATAATATTAATTCAATGGTGAGCATTTATCCTCTAATTCCAAAGCACCCACTTTGGATATCGAAATTAAGCATTCAAAACTATAACACCGGTATACTCGACAGTGTTTTGTGAATTTTAAGTACACACTAAAGTGTAACGTATGTACTGTACATACATCTTTCCATCTTTCCTTCCTTATATTCAAGTTGTTACCTTGTCTAAATGAGAAGGATGGGTTGTGTATGTACATACATCTTTCCATCTTTCCATCCTTATATTCAAGTTGTTACCATGTCTAAATGAGAAGGATGGGTTGTGTATGGTCGAGTAAACATGAATGCGACAAAAGCTGATGTTTTCTGGCCTTAATATCCAGACTTAAAGGCTTGTATGGGCCAATTAAAAGGCTTGGCAAGGTGCTGACAGATTTACAAAAGATTTAGTTTAGAATAGGATTTTATGGGTCATTATAAACCCTTTAGGCAGGGTATACAGGCATTCAGGCATATATGCATATACACACATATATAGGTACACAAGCATATATGCTAACACACACAAGCATATATGCTAACACAAGTACAAGGCGATGAGGTATGTTCATGGTACAGGGTGAGACGATTTGAAGATCGTTTTCAATTTTTGAAATAATTTGCGGCATTAGATAGATGTTCCTTGATGCATTCAACAACCTGCCTAACGAGTAAACAAATGACACCAATATCTGACAAAATAGCTTAATAAAAAAAATTGGAAAATAAATCGAGACAAACTAGATAAAAAACATTATTTAGACAAACAAACAAAATTGCCTTAAATGAAAACATTTGTTTTCTAGACTAACAAACATCAAAAATTCCTCATATACAATCATTTATCTTAAAAACAAACATGAAACTATCTCACAAACAATTATTTATCTGACAAACAAACGTAAAAACTAGCTCACAAACAATCATTTATCTGAAGAACAAACATGAAAACTACCTCACAAACAATCATTTATCTGACAAACAAAGATGAAACTATTTCACAGACAGTCATTAATCTGACAAACAAACATGAAAAATTCCTCACAAAAAATCATTAATTTAAAAAACAAAGATGATAAACTACCTAACAAACTATCATTAATCTGGCCATAAAAGCTGAAAAATACCTCACAAACATTCATTTATCTGAAAAATAAACATATAAAATTTCTCACAAACAATCATTAATCTGACAAACAAACATGAAAAATTTCTCACAAACAATCATTAATCTGACAAACAAACATGAAAAACTCCTCACAAACAATCATTAATCTGACAAACAAACAGAAAACTACCTCACAAACAATCATTAATCTGACAAACAAACAGAAAACTACCTATAAGTTAAAAAACAAAAAGCAAATAAACGACCTAATAACATGGTGGTAGAGTAATTAAAAAAAATTAAAAAAGAATTAACAACATTCAAATTGACTAATAAACATTTATTAGCCCAGCAAATGATGAATAAAGTCCCTTGTAAAACAATAATGATTAAAAAAACAAACATTTAAAAATATAAATTACCAAATTTGTCAAACAATCACCCACTGAGGCCGAAAGAGATATGTTCTGAGATACAAAGATACAGGAATTGAACGCCTACTGAATAATAAGTACGGAGCCAACTTTTAAACAGGTCAATATCTCATTTCATCATTCATAAAGAGGGGAGGGGAGGGAGGGATGCTGGAAGTGAGGCTGAAGATGAGAAATAAAGAGGGAAGTGAGAATAAAAAGAGTAAATAAGAAGGAAAGTGAGGATAAAGATGTGAAATAATGAGGGAAATGAAGAAGGAGATATAAGGAGAGAAGTAAGGATAAATAGGATGAGGGAAGAAATGAATAAGGGAAGTGAGGATAAATGGAGGAGGAAGGAGGGAAGTGAGGATAAAGAGGATACGGGAAAGAATAAGAAAAGTGAGGACAAAATGAGGAGATGAAGAGGATGAAGGAAGTAATAAGGGAAGGTATTAGGGAAGTGAGCTAGAATAAAGGGGATGAAGGAAGGAATGAGGGAAGTAAAGATAAAGAGGAATGAGGAAAGGAATAAGAGAAGTTAGGAAAAAAGGAGAAAAATGGGGAAGTGAGAATAAAGAGGAGGAGGGAAGGAATGAGGGATAAAGAGGATGAGGGAAAGAATAAATGTAGTGGGGATAAAAAGGAGGATGAGGGAAGGAAAAAAGGAAGTAAGGATAAAAGAGAAGAATGCATGAGAGAAGAAGGATAAAGAGATCAGGAAGTGAAGTTATGATAATAATTTATCCCGCATTTCCTTTTTTATCTTCGAAAAATTCCTTCAGGTTCTAAACGTAAGAAAATTTCTCTGCTAGATCATCTTCAGAAGTTTAAAGCCATAGTTAAATGTGCAGTGCATCCAGTAGCCTTGCTAAACATCATAAATCTGAGGTAAATTTTAAAACAATAGTTCTAACCTGCAAAACTGCAGCTTAAAGTATTTCTACCCTATAGTTAGGTAAATGGTACAAAATGATGTATATTGTGTTATTCTTTAGAGGTTAACCAACCCCGTATACCTTTAACAGAAATATATCTTCGTGCACATGCAGTTTATTCTAGGTTACAAACTCAGAAATGCTTAAGAGAGTCAAGAGAGTAGGAAGAAGGGGAGATAGAACAACAATAAGGAAGAAGGGGAGATAGAACAACAATAAGGAAGAAGGGGAGAGAAAACAACAATAAGGAAGAAGGGGAGAGAGAACAACAATAAGGAAGAAGGGGAGAGAAAACACCAATAAGGAAGAAGGGGAGAGAGAACAACAATAAGGAAGAAGGGAAGAGAGAACAACAATAAAGAAGAAGGGGAGAGAGAACAACAATAAGGAAGAAGGGGAGAGAGAGAGAATCATGTATGCCCTGCGTTAAATGCACTAATAAAATCAAAGTTCCTGGATATTTATTAATACACGAATGATATTTCTTTCTGATGCTTCCAGCAATTTTAAAATCATAAAAAGCGTAACTTAATAGATTTTTAGGAAATGAAAGAAATAAGCTTTATTCGCATTTTAGCCAATTTCATTCTGCCCCTTTGTGTTGCAATAAATCTGGTTAAGAATGTGTGTGTGTGTGAGATTACTGAACAGATTACTGAACAGATTACTGAACAGATTACTGAACAAATTACTGAACAGATTACTGAACAGATTACTGAACAGATTACTGATCAGATTACAGAAAAGATTACTGAACAAATTTCTAAAAAGATTACTGAACAGATTCCTGAACATATCACTCAACAGATTACTGAACAGATTACTGAACAGATTACTGAACAGATTGCTGAGCAGATTACTGAACAGCTTAAGGTTACTGAACAGCTTACTGAACAGATTACCGAACAAATTACTGATCAGATTACTGAACAGTTTTTCGAAAAAACGGGTTTAATTAAAAAAAAATATCTAATTGTAAGATTATTTATTTCTTTATTTTCTCAATTCCGTTCAGAATATGTTGGTACAACGTATGCGTGTACAGGAAATATACCTAGTCATTAAATGTACAGTTTAATATTTACTTCCAGAGATAAGAGTTTACACTAGTGAGCTGAAAACAATACATTCAATTAAACAACAAAACCAAGAGTATCCTGTCTTTCTCTAAATGTTAAGATATTTATTTCAACATTTTTGTAATATAAAATAAATGCATGGATTTCATAGTGTAATTTTGAATACAGTGAAATCCAGAAAACTGTTGTACAGGAAGATGATATTAAATCAATGCTTTAAGTGGATTTTATATTGTTACAAAGCAATATAGTTTTTACTAGTAGCTTGAAAATTAACTATAAGGTGAAATGGTCTGTGCACAATGCACAATTGTCGTGTGTCATGTAGATTGAAGAATGTAAAATCATGAATTGAGTTTTAAAGTCGTCTTCCTATTCCGAAGTTTTCTGGTTGTATACGTAGGTTATCAAAAAAATATTGTAAATCTTACTACAATAAAATTTGGATTTTAGTTAAAGTATTTAAAATATCTTTGGATTATAGACAGCTATAAGCAATAAGAAAGGGTAGATGATCAGACTTTGTGATGCTCTTGAGTGTAAAATCAATACTGGGGGTGTAATGTAAGAATTGATTTTTTTGGGAGCCCTAGATTAAATAAAAGAAATAGAATTTTATATTATGACGTAATTGGACAGCTTAAGATAAAGAGCAAAATAATTCCTAAGGCTTAAAACTAGACACGAGGGTAAAATAAAATTTATGTTGTTTCGGCTCTTTTACGTTGTAACTTTCTAATCATGGAAGA